TTGGAGGGGGCTTGGAGCAACCTGGTCTGGTGGGAGGTGTCCCTGCCCAGGGCAGGGGGTTGGAACTGGATGATCTTTAAGGTGCCTTCCAACCCAAACCATTCTATGATTCTATGTGTTATGGTCTCTCCCCTGTGCAATAAGTTCCCCGTCACCCTAAATGCCGCTATAGGCTTGTTTATCCTACACCAACCTGCAGGACACGCTCCTGTGCTGACGCCTCATTTCCTCAGTTTGCGAAAGCAGAGACCTTGCTAATCCCCATTTGCCCACGTCAGATTCCTAATGCTCTCCCCGGGCTTCCATCACAACTCGATAATCCTGGCTCACCCCCAGCCCTTCGCACGGCTGCCTGTGGCTGTATGGAGGGCTGGGCTTGGATTTTTTGGATGACTTGGGGGGGGAGGGAGAAGGACAAGATGCACCGTAGGCTCCTCTTAGTGCTCACCTGTACGCTGCCGTGCCACCACCAGGATCATCAGTGCTCCCAAGAGCATCTCCAGCAGCACAGGGAGGAGATACATCAGAAAAAAGGGCTTTGGGGGCAGGGAAAAGAGCAGGGGTTGCTGCATGCTGAGGGGAGACCTCATCACTCTCTACAACTACTTGAAAGGACACTGTAGAGAGGTTGGTGCTGGTCCATTCTCTCAGGTAATTAACAATAGAACGAGAAGGAACGGCTTCAAGCTCCAACAGGGTAGGTTTAGATTGAACATTAGGAAGGAATATTGAACATTAGGAAGGAGGGATATGGTGTAGGGGAGGACTTTGTAGAGTAGGGTAGATGGTTGGACTCGATGATCCCAAGGGTCTCTTCCAACCTCAATGATTCTATGATTCTATGGGAGGACCAAAGCAAGGATTCATTGGGGCTCTGGCTGTGCCCATCTCAGGTCTGTTAAATCAATTCCCTAGTGCCAGCCTGATTTCGCATCTTCCACCACCACTTCTCTCCCCAACACCAGCTCTTTCCACTGTGTCTCCTTCCATGCCCTGGTTTTGAACCACAGCTGAAGGTTCGAACCTTCTCCCAGCCCTTCAAAATGCCGCAGAACCCGCAAATAACCCCTGGCTTGTGATGACACCGAGGCCATTAAACCACCTTTCCTCAGGCAGGGAGTCTGCTCCGTCCTTCACGGGTGCTACAGCCCTGCACAGGCACTGCTTAGGCAAAAGCTTCATCAATATTTAAAGACCAAGCCAGGAAGCCCGTAGCCCGAGCAGCTTTCAAGCCCCTGATGAGATCGATGTTGAACAAAAGGCTGCGGTAGGAGGATGCTCCAGTGAGCAGGGCCCAGGTTGCAGGCTGGCACCATCAGCTCTCCTTCCCAAGGCTGATCGAGTTCCTCTCCTCCGGCCCCGGTGGGGTGGGATGGCTCCAAAACCTGCCCTGGTGGGGTGGGATGGCTCCAAATACAGCCCCGGTGGGGTGGGATGGCTCCAAAACCAGCCCCATCACACGGAGCTTGCCCATATCACACACCGAAATCAGCCCCAGAGCGTGGAGTTTCCTCTTAGTAGAGCATTTTCAAGCTTCCAGCCAACTCCAGAAATCGGTGCTGCCACAAACCCCTCCTCTGGCTTTGAATATTATTTTGCTTTAACGCCAGCCACTTAAGAACAAAACATCTGAGGCTCAAAAACCATGGGGGTCACGGGTTCCAGCATCCCGACTCGCAGCAGATGCTCCAGACTAGCAAGAAAAGCATAATGCACTTAGCTAGTTTGACACTGCATGGGAGCAGGAGATCTTATTTCCCTCAGCTAGAAATGTAACCGATCACAAGATTATCCACAGCCCTTTGGCAGTTCAGCTGCACTGCTGGGCTCCCTGCAAACCCCCGAATTTAGCTTCCAAGACATCCACAGACATCCACAAGTCACCTCTTTTTAGCCCTCTTACTTCTCCTGTATCACTTTATTATTATTCAGATGCCAGAGAGCAGATGGGAAAAATAGCATATCAAGATAGAAACAAAAAAAAAAATTAAGAAAAAAAAGAGAGAATAATTACATCTAATGGCTAAAAATCAAGAAGATGGGGATAAATTTATGTCCCTTCCAGGGAAACTGGCATGGATAAGGGATTGGAATCCCTCTGAAAGGACCTGCAGAAGGGTAAGAGCATTCCTAGAAAGAAGCCTTTATTGGAAATACCAGCAAATTAAGACTTTGCAAGCAATAGGGAGCCGGGGTAATTTACTGGTTAATACCATTATGGCTCTGGAAGTCGGTTTCCTGCAACCAATGGCACCAAATCACTCCTCATTTCATCTCCTCCCAACAGAATGTCACGTGGAAGGGTTTTGTCCCCACCACAACCAAATCACCGAGCACCGGTGCCCGGGACGATGCTCACACTCACACCCCTGGGCTTCAGGGTAGGAAAGCGGCGGATAAATCCTCCGTGACTGTGCCAAGGCTGAAAATCCATCTGCTCTCCATCCCTCCCACCCCCCCTCTCCCCCCTTC